AAAAAAAACATGAAGTTTGCCTGATCATTTGCGTGCTCACCGTTGCCGAGCTCACTCCAGTAAATCGCTTCCTTATGTCAAAAAACATCGGAAGATCACGGCCAAACTGTTTGTCGTCTAGATCTAGAAGTAATCCGGGGCACGTAAACCGCAACTGATGAAGACAAAGAGGAGACTGCACTGCGCGTGGTTCGAAGAGATTCGGGTGGTTACAGCACTGAGAAAATTGAGCTAGTCAGATAATTTGTGAAAAGAAAAACTCCTACCTTTCTTAACTGCATAACAATGTTAAGCACAGAAAGCATGTTTCCAGACTTTAGATTATCTCGAGTTCTAAAAAAGGCGTATTGAACTTTAATGAAAAGCCGGAATGGATCATGCATGAGTGAAATGAACAACTTACGATCTCTGGCTCATAAAATCATCATACAGGTATCTCTGCCTTTTTGATAACTGACATTTGATGACGTGCTCTGTCTTTTTCGGAAGTTGTTTCTCGACTTCGCTTTTCAATCTACGAAGTATAAAAGGACGCAGAACCTTAAAAAGACTTCTATTACTTGCTGAATACGTCAAAAACTAAATGAACCCTGATAAACAAAAATAGCTCACAAAAGAGTACCCGTTTAACCTACCTTATGCAACTGCTGTACCAATGGTGCGTTAAACTCTACACTTCCATCCATCATTCCTGTCAATGGATTACTGAACCAATCCTTGAAGTCATCATGGCTAGCAAATATCGCTGGCATCAAGAAATGCATAAGAGACCAGAGCTCCATCAACGAATTTTGCAGAGGGGTACCTAAAGATTAGAAAATTACAAGTTCCAAAGAATAATGGTGGCTGAACTCAAAAAGCTATTAGCGAGATAACTTACCCGTCAAAAGTAATCGTCGTCTGGCTTTCACATTGAGTAAGGCTTGCCATCTTTGACTCTTCCAGTTTTTGATGTTCTGTGCTTCATCCAAGATGAGGTACTGCCAGGACTGAAAACTAA